CAGCATGGCTCTACCATCGTATAAAAACCTATCGAACATTGAGCCAATAGTACACAATGAAACATTTCTATATTGCAAAATTGCGACGTAGCCAGATAGTGCACAGTACATGTAAAGATGCGGCCCCAAGCCTCCTTCTAATACCCTAGTTCGTAGGTCGGGGTGCGGCGCGTGCGAAGCAGACGTGTGCTAGTAATTTAACGGATTTTACACAAAAAAGTAAGATTTTTTATTGACATTCGTCGATTTTTTATTATTATGTGTAATGGATACACGGTCAGTTAAAATGATCAGTTGAACTGACGTACATCCAAAAACTGACAGTGAGTGTAAAATTTTAAGTTGAAACTTTTAACTGAATGCAACCCACGTATTTTTTGGGCGTACTGTCAGCTGAAACTGCTCAGTCGAACTGACGTACATCCAAAAATTTATCGTCAGTGTGAAATCTTAAGTTGAAATTTTTAACTGACGGCAATCCATGGAGTTTTCCGGGCGCTTACCGCTGGCTTCAATTGTTTTAATCATTGGTAAGTAGCTACTTACATTAATAATAATAATAATACTTTTATTTTCAAAACTTGCATAACTATCACATTTATAAATAACTATTCTATGATCTATACCAACAACAAGAAGCTATCAGTAAGTTGTGACTCCTGCAAGAGCATTTTATGTGGTGATTGTCATGGAATGTCACCAACTGAAGTAGGAGTGTTCGAGTTAAAGACAATAGCTCGAGTGGTTTCTTTTTTATGTGTCGATTGTAAGTCACTAATGGCACAAATACCAAATATAATGAAACAACTGGAGGAACTTACTAAAGAAGTACACCACTTGCGATTACGTCAAAACATGCTTGTAACTGAAGGAGCAATACAAGAATTGGCTGAGCGCACTAAGAGAGCTAACAATATAATAATTTACGACGTACCAGAATCAACCTCGGATAAACCTTTACAAAGGCAGGGGCATGATAAAGAGGAGTGCAGGAAAATAATAACGTGTGTGAGCAAAAAAGTTAGCTGTGATAATGTGAAACTATTTCGTCTTGGTAAGTTTCAAGCTGGGGCTCCTCCTCGTCCCATTAAAGTAGTAATGAAGTCTAAGAATGATGCTATTGAGATACTTCGTAACAAAACTAAACTGGATAAACCGTCAAATATTAAATCAGACCAAACTGCCATGCAACGCGAGTACTTAAAATACCTCCGTGATGAATTAGAGAATCGTACTAATAATGGAGAACAAGGTTTGACTATCAAGTATATACAAGGGCAGCCTAAAATTATCTGTAAACAGGAAATAAAAAACTAGTCCAAATTCACCAACCCTCACTAGTAAATCTTCGATACCTTCCGCACTCTTAACAATAACAATCTTATACACAAACATACAATCGATAACATCTAAACTGGATTTATTCATTGCAAGAGTTGATCAACTAAAACCATCAATTATAGTCCTCTCAGAAACATGGCTAAAACCAAATATACCTGACTCACTGATAAAGATAGCGGGTTACGACTTATATGCAGAGACGATCGTATTGATAAACGAAGTGGAGGAGTCGCTATTTATGTATTGAACAATATTACATATATGACATCAAAGCGAAATAATCAGTATAATACGAAGTATGACTCTTGGGAATGTTTATGGGTAGACATTGAAGTAGGTTTTCAAAGAATACTGTTATGTGGACTATATAGAGGGAACAAATCAACTATCGATCATGACAACTTCCTCCTACAAAATTTAGAACTGGCTTCCCCAGTCAAACACAGTAATAATAATGGGTGACTTTAACTTCGGTGGAGTCAAGTGGCCACTTTTAAATTGTGTGTATCTACTGCCAAAAGAAACCAATTTCTTGCAATGGTATAACAACAACAATCTGTACCAATTGGTAGATCAATATACGAGGTTTCGCCAGGGTCACCAGCCATCTACTTTAGACCTAATCTTGACAAACGATGAGTCTTTGATAGTTGGAATTAATTATGAGGCCGCAATTGGGAAAAGTGATCATGCATGCTTAGCATTCGACTATACAGTTACAAACACAACAGAATAGGCAGCAATCTAAATCTAAAAAGAACTTTAATAAAGGAGACTACAACAAAATCAAAGAAGAAATTCACTCCGGCTTAAAAAAAATGTTTAAAGATGTACTTTGTCCAGTTGAACAGTTTAGAATAATGCATAAAACAATAACTAATGCCATAGACACACATGTTCCTCTTGTAAAAACATTTAACAAAGTAAATAAACCACGGATAAAAAATGACATATCTGAGTTAATAAGAGAAAAAAAATTATTTGGAAGAGATATACTGTAACAGGGTCAGATAAAATCTATAAGGAATACAGGAAGCTAAATAACAAACTGACTAATTTAAGGCGCACGGCAAGGGCAGTTTACGAAAATCAACTATTAGATCTAGGACCAAAGAAATTTTACTCGTATATCAGGCAGCAAATCACCTCTAAAGTTAGTACACCAAACATTTTACGGAACAGTAATGGGCAATCTGTGACACGTTCTAAAGACGTAGCGGAAGTATTCGCAGAACATTTTTCTAATGTATTTGAAAGAGAACCACTAGAAGAACTTCCTGCGCTTGACCCAAACCTAAGAGCAACTGAAGTTATGGAGGACATCATGTTCACAGAATCCAAAGTACAAGCTGCTATCAAAGAAATGAATATAGACTCTTCACCTGGCCCCGACGAAATACCCGTACATGTTTTAAAGAACTGCGGGATTGATAGTTACCTAGCATCAGTAATGCAAAAATCATACGACAAAGGAGTTTTGCCTTATTTATGGAAAACGGCTTTAGTGACTCCTGTTTACAAAAAGGGAAACAAATTAGATCCTGCAAATTATAGACCGATAAGCTAGTGTGGTGTGCAAAGTCATGGAAAAGATAATAGTTCAGCACATGAGACAGTTCCTTAACAAACAACAAACTATTGGTAAACAGCAACATGGTTTCTGTCCTCATAGATCAACGATTTCCAGCTTGATGTCTTGCTTATCATCCTGGGTCAACAGTCAAAATGATCGAGAACCGATAGATGTTATATATCTGGATTACGAAAAAGCTTTTGATAAAGTACCAATAGGCAGGCTTTTACATAAATTGGAATATGTTGGTATTCGAGGGAAACTGTTAACTTGGATTGAGAGTTTTCTACGACAAAGAACCTTCAGAGTAAGGATTAGCGATACATTGTCAGATGAAAAAGAAATACAAAGCGGTGTGCCACAAGGTTCTGTACTGGGACCGGTATTGTTTATACTGTTTACCTTTGATCTACCAAAAAGCTTGAGTTGTAATGTAAGTATGTTCGCTGATGACACGAAGATATTCGCAAACCCACTAGTGGACTTCGATCGCCTTCAAGCAGATCTAATTAAAATATTAGATTGGTCAAAAAGGTGGCTTATTAAATTAAATATAATTAAATGCACAGTCCTCCATATAGGAAACAGAAACCCTCGATTAATATATAAAATCGATGATATACCTTTGGAAGAAGTTAAAGTACAAAAAGACTTAGGTGTGCATATAAGTAACGATTTAAAATGGAATCATCATATAACAGTTATAACTAAAAAAGCAAATAGTTTTATTTACCTGATTAGAAAAGCCTTCGGACATCTTACACCAGAAATGATGCTAAAAATACATAAGGCGTACATTCGACCTATTTTGGAGTATGCGTTCCAAATCTGGAGCCCCTATTTCAAAAAGGATATTGAGTTACTGGAGAAAGTTCAACGTAGATTTTCAAAGGTCCCTAGAGTATTGAAAAACATACCATATGAGGAAAGGTTGAATAAGCTTAAATTAACGACACTGAAGGATCGCAGAGAACGGGGAGACTTGATCGAAGCATATAAAATTATACATGGACACTACGATCTGGAAAATTTTGACAGAGATTTATTCCAGTACTCAACAAACACACATCTTAGGGGACATCACTTCAAATTAACCAAAACCGTGTCACATAACAACCCACACAAGCACTTTTTTAGCCAAAGAGTGGTTGAAGCATGGAATAAACTGCCATCAGAAGTAATATCTGCACAAACTATTAACCAATTCAAGAACAGATTAGATAAACATCTAAAATAAGAATAATTACATATTTGAAAATAGGATATGGGCTTACATCAGTTGTTTCAACTGCTAGCCTGTTAAGTAATAATAATAATATGTATCTCTTTGTGTATAATATGCTGAAAGCATGAGTGTGTTTCAGTTTCTTCAAAGTTTAACTGGTGAAGAAATTCAAATAATTTAATTTTGCATTTCTTTTTATTTAAAGAGTACAATTCAGTCTTTTTACATTATTTCTATGCTGTTTAGATTTTTTTATTATTTTATGTTTAGAGAATTTCATTTGACGGAGGATTGAGAAAAAGGTAACTGTGATGATGTTACCTTCCTTACGATTGACTCAGAAGGTGAGTAAAGGAGCTCAGTGATGCTACGTAGAACCATTGTATTAGAACATCATCATGAAGACCTAGATGACTGTGATGATATCAGCTAGCTGCTGGTGGACACCGAAGGGGAGTTTAGGATATCAGTGACGTCACTCCACAGAACCATTATGTTTGGACTCATTTAAAAGGTACTCATAAAGACCTAGATGATTTCACGTTTCTTATGGTAATCGGTAAATCTTATGGTAATAAATTCGGAAATAGGCTTATCCGAAGGTAAGTTTAGGTTCTCAGTGACGGCGCTAGATAGGATAATCGTGTTTGACCTCATTCGAAAGAGCTCATAAAGACCTAGGTGACTGTTATGATCTTACATTTCTGATGGTGCAATCCGAAGCTGAGTATAGGATCTTAGTGACGGCACTAGATAGTACGATCGTGTTTGAACTAATTTTAAAAGGGCTCATAAAGACCTAGGTGACTGTTATGATCTCACCTTCCTGATGGTGCAATCCGAAGGTGAATATAGGATCTCAGTGACGGCGCAAGATATAACGATAGTGTTTGAACTTATTTCAAAGGGCTCATAAAGACCTAGGTGACTGTTATGATCCCACTAAAAGAAAACTAAACTAAGTATAGTGTACCTATATGTGTTATTAGTGTTGGCCGTGTAGTGGCGGTTTAGAATATCCACTGATGACTTTAACTAACCATGTGTGTGCACGACATTGTACAAGTATTACAGATTTCCGTTACGTACATACATACATACTTGAAATGTTTTAATTTTATATATTTATTTTAAGGTTATAGAAATAAGTAACATGCTGACATCTCGTACACAATGAACAAAAAACACATTGTACACAATGAACCATGTTTCAGTGTGCAGTTAGTTTCAGAGTAAATAATGAAAACACCAGAAGTCTGCAGAAATGCTCGTGCCACCGCTTTTAGCAAAGAGGGGATAGTGGTGGAGAAGGAGTGACGTAAGACTTGCAAGAAGTCAATGGATCCAGGTGACTCAGGAATATGCTTTGGGGATTTTTTTATCTTTGGGGAAGGCCTATGTTCAGGATTGGACTTTTAAAGTGCTGTAAGAACCACAATTATTATGATTGTTATTATTAAGTTACTTGTAGTAAGATAAGCTGGACAAGCTAGTTTTTTGGTGTTTGATGATAATTTCATTCATTTTATACCTACCTATTGAAAGGTTTAAGTTTTGATGTTTCTTTTACGTTTATGAATGAGTTTATCATTCAAAATAATACAAAAATAGTATGTATTAAAATAAAATAATGAAACGAAGGTTATAAACAAGAAGCACTGTTTTACTAATGTAACTACCAAATTCATTGCAAAAATTACAAAATAGTACAATGGCTCATTGTTAAATATAGCTAGGCTCATAGTGTACCACATAGAGTAGAGTAATATATACAGCTATGATATACAGAAATAGAGAGCCATCTCCTAGGATTTTTTGTCACCCAATGTGAATAGTGTCGCCGTCTGATATCATATCCCTTGAACTAATCTCAATATCATGTTGACTATAGATAGCTGTATGTAGTTATATATACAGAACGGGTCCCACATATATGCAATAAATGCAACCACAAGTAATACTAGTCCGTAGAAGTGTAGTAAAATTAAATATTAAATTAAAACCCGTAAAATAAAAAATTGAAATTTTCAAACAAAATAAATATTAAAATAAATTCAGTAAAAGTGAACACTCTGTTTAGACAACGTACCTTGACCCCTTGGAAGAGTGACAACGTTGCACGCGGGTGCCGCCGACAAAAGACACCGCTGTCGATACGTCGCAATACCAATAGTTTGCACTGCGTGGCAACGTCGCTTTTTAATGTTCAAGGATTCGAGTTCATTGAATCATTGACTTAGTGACCCAATTCCATAGTGTTCAAATTTGCTTAAAATTAAAACTCTATTTTTTGACTTAATTACTGGACCGATTACGTTCATTTTTTGTATATCGTCAGCAAAGGCGATAACAAGTATATGGTTTCATTTATTGCATATATGTGGGACCCATTCTGTATACAGCTATCTATACTATAGGCTGTTATATTTATATTTTAAGGGATTAGGGTTTAATTAAAGACGTATTATAGATGTCAGTAATATTAAAATTTATTTTTATTATATATATTTAACATACACGATGTAAAAGCGTCTATTCCGTAAAATACAACACCAACCCAAATTAAATATGTCCACCGGGTTTAGGGTTGCCAGATCGGAAGACCAAAATATCTGGATAAAATTTGAAAATGTCGGGATTTTGGAGTTGTTGTCGGGAGAAATAAATATTAAAAATAAAAATGTTAAATAAAAATATTATTTTTTAAAATAATGGGCTACAAATATACTTAACATTGTTGCCAGATAATTAATGTATTAATTTTGGGGTTGCCACAGATATTTGTCATTGGACTTTACTGAATCCACCTATTTGGATCCTTTAGTGGAATTCAGAAAAGATTTAAAATTTAAACAATTTTCGTCAAAGTTTTCGTCAAAGTCAGTTTAATTAACACCTCTGCTTTTATTGAGTCAATAGCCATACGATTTCTCTCTTTTGTATATAAATTATTTAGTAAACTAAACATGCTTTCACAGTAAACATTGTTTACAGGAATTGACAACACAAATGATATAATTTTTTTTAATTTTTGATTGCGTTTTGGTTGCATTTTTTTTAATGTGCCCAAATTTTATGATTTGACATGTCTTTGCCTTGAGGAAGATGTTCAAATATTTCCCGAAGACAACAGTAATCAGTATATACTGAATATATAAAGAATCTTGGTCAATGTCGTTTGAAATATTGAGAATGTTGGGCAACGCGGATAGCTCTTCCCACGTAAACAAATTTGCACTTTTTAATATAGCGAGTTTTTTGTATAAAGCGTTCTCAGAAAATCATAACGTTCATGCAAATATTGAATAGCTCATTTTAAAAACTGTTCAGCTTTGACGCAAAAAAAAGGGTTTTTCTCACTATCGGAAATATTTCTTAATAAGGTTCTATTTATACTACCAAAGAATTAATCTTCGAACCTATTTTTAAGATGACTCATCAGTTTTTTCATTACACTGTCTTTTTGTAAGACCGTGCATGCATCGCTTCCCAATGCTAAAATTGTTGCTTGGGACTCCAAAATTACGTTGTGTAGAAAGTATAAATACGCTTCCGAAATTTCTTCCCGTTAGCATTCGTCAACTACTTTACTATTATCCATATGGGTTATATTTCTGGTTACAAACTCCCATATCTCCTTTCGACATTCGTCTTTCCCTTTCAATAAAAAATACAGCTGGCCAGTTATACATTAAACGATCTAAAGCAGGCAAAAGAGACAGCAATCTTGTTGGGACATGACGAAGAAGATTTTGTAATCGACACTTGC